ACGCAATATTCTCTACATACGTACGTGTGTGTGTGTGTGTGTGTGTGTGTGTGTGTGTACCTATGTATGTAAGTCTAGCTGATCTATGGTATGTAATTTAACTCCGAAGTTCCTCTGTTGGTTTTTAGTTCTGATAAGCGGGCCAAAAATGAGATTAGGGTATTGAAATCACCCACTATTATGTTAGGAATTATTTGACTTTTTATGCCCATTAGTGTTTATGAAATTGGAAGCCCCAACATTTCGTGTATATATATTTACAACTGTTATTTATTCTTGATGAATTGTTCCACTTATTAATATGCAGAGGAATTTTTTATCCTTTCTAATTTTGATATTAAATCTATTTCATCAAACATCAAAACAGCTATAGCAGCTGATCTCACTTTCCATCCACTTGGTAGACTGACTTTCCTCCTTCCTTCTAAGTCATAGATGTCTTTACCAGTGAGATGTGTTTCTCAGAGAAAAAAAAAAAAAGTGTTTCAGTCCACTCACCTAATGTCTTTTTATTAGTAACCTGAGGCCAACAATCCCAGCACCTGGGAGGCAGAGGCAGGGGTATCTATGTGAGTCTATCATCCCTGTTCTATCTTCCCTGTTTTATGCTAGCGCTACTTGTGTTGGCCATGGGTTTATATCTGCCATAGCCATCTTCATTCTAGCAGTTTCCCTTGTTAGCATACCTGGGTCCTCTTCTGGCACACTTAGCTTTGTGGTCTGTGTCCTAATAAGGTTCTGTCACCCTCCTGAGATTTCCCTCATGGGAACACATGGGCTGGCTAATGTTCTAGTTGATGGACACCTCCCACTGCACTGCAACCGCAGCACTGAAATCTATACAGTCAGTGGACCTGTCTTCATACTTTCAAGACCTCCCAAGTGCTAATCACTGCTGGTGGGATGCAGCTGTGCATGTCCAGCAGGCCACAGTTTTCAGAAAGCTCTACACTAGTGAATACAGGTAAGTAGTTCTACAACTGAGCAATTCACTGACCTCAGGCTCAGGGTATCAAGCTCCCCAGTGATTCTCAGTTGGTAAGATCTGCTCTCAGCCACTGGAGCTGGGCTACCTTTATACAATTCAATGCTTGAGCAGACACCTGCCACCTGCACCTTTGGCGGCTCTCCTGCTTTCTATAACTGCTTCCTAGTGCTGCCTCTCACCCTGGGGCTGTGGAAGATTAAATTCAGGTTCCCTTGCTACTGACTAATTGCTCCAGGGTAGCTCAATTGTAAACATAGGCTCTCTCTCAAAACGGGGCCTGTCCACTGCCCTATGACTCATGCAGAGTGACAAAATGGGATCCTTCTCTACTGCTGACTTATTCGTGAGAATAATTATCATCTCACTGAAATCTGCAGTGAGGGCTATGAGGTTGTCCTGAGGTATGATTGCCAGTCTCTTTTCACCAAACCTGCCTGGCTTACTGTCTTATATGTTCTGAACTTCCAAGGCCCTGCATCTTTCAGAATACTGATAGAGGAAGTGGGC